ATCGAAATATGCTTTGTATACCTTAAAAACTCGAAATAAGGTTGACGGCAATGTGGCAATGATTTCTTTTCAGCACAAAGAAGAGTTGGATGTGTTTCGAAATCATGGGAAAATCTACTGAAGGACGACGAGCACGTGAAAGCTCTAAATGCTTTCGGCGTTGATCAATCCCCGAGAGATGCGCCATGCATTCAACTTCATGAAGTATCCTTTGAGGTGATTGGATGCAAATTCGCCCTATACAATGACTCGCTATGGCCTGCCGATGTATACAGCCAGTGCCGCTATACTACTAAGCAGGTCTGGTACCAATTTGCCGAACCCGGAGGGATGGAAGGCTTGGTGAGCTTGGGGTGCGGGATCGATCCCACGTGTACAGCACCTCTAACCATTGCGCTACACGCACCCTACGACGATCGCAGAGGATACGAAAAACGCATAAATTACAAATAGGGAACAAAAAAACCCACTTATAGAGTGAAAAAATCGACAAAAAAAGAGAAGGTTATTTAGTTAGTAGTATGTCTCATGAGTGAATGGACGGAAACTACTGACCGTCTCACCCGCCCGCCATAAAATTAGGTGTCAATGTGTTAAAGAAAAAAGAAACAGCTTCTTGATCCACACTGTGAAGTACTGAGAATTTCAGTGATGATTCATCACAACACCTATCAGGTGATCATCAGCTTCTCAGCAAAACAGCGTACTTGTTTGTTATCGATAATTTTTAATAACAGTTTTAAGATATATCAGATTCATTACAGAAAAGACTTCAAAAGAGGTGAGGCTGGTGGCATTTTTATAGTTTACAAACTTAGTACTTGGGGCTAGTAAACCACATGGACCTACATGTGAATCTTTAGGTTCTGTCTCATAATTGATTGATTTTAATCGTGGTAGCCAGATAGATTTGAGTTTTGAATTGTTTCGAAACACCATGCATGGTATACCTAAAGCGAGATAATGAGAATCCATGCCAAAGAAACACATCCTACTTGTGGAAGAGGATTCTATTCGAGTGTTAATCAATGTCATATGAGTGAGGATTCTATTCGAGTGTTAATCAATGTCATATGAGTGAAGGAGTTCAGCATGGTAGGAATGTAAGAGTTCATGAGAACTGGAACACGTTTGTATCGCCTTCGTCGATAAGTGTAACTCTGCTGGGATAACTTCATTTCAATAAACTAGAAAAGAATTCTGTGCATTCTGTGTTATATCATTTCCCACACAGACTATCAGCAACATGCAGAAATCAAAAAACCAACACAAAAAACTTTTTTAATCGCAATACGAAAGTCTAGCCACGACCAGAATGCCATGTTAGACTCCATAAAACTGAATAAAAGATAAAGTGCTAGGCGTTGAAAAATCCATGATGGATTCTCTATGGATCTCTATGATGAAAATCTCTATTGATTCGACCCCTTTCAGTATCTTTAAGGAGGTTGCATGAATATTTCACCTATACAGTTAGTTATTAAGGTCTACCGATCTATCAAGTCAGCTTTCTTATTCTCCCAGTCAAAAATATCACCAACTTTGGGTGCTGTGAAAGGCTTAGTAAGCTTAAGCTAAAGATGCGCACGATAGAACCAACGATTGACCCGATGTTTACTGCAGAAGACCTCGAACCGTTGTGCTACGCCTACCTCTGTAATATGTTTAACATTTATTTGCTGCCTATTTCGTTCACCTGGCATAGTATGACGTGTGCTATAACCGCAGCGATGGTGGGATATGAGCAAAACCCGAAACCTCGGTTGGGTTTCGAACTCGCGACTGCCCTTTCCGTGAGTCACGTGCTATCCACCACACCAACCACCGTAATACTTCATGGGAGCACAAACTCAGCCGTTACTAATAGAATGGTGCAAAGCGATTTGGTATTATTGCATTGAGATTAAAATTAATGCCAAATGTTGGTACATACACCTATTACGTTAACTTGAGAAAGCCTCACCAACAGCGAGGCAAATCAGCGATCATTCACGCCAATATTTTCTCACAAAATTTTCTGGTGCTGCCGCCATCATGATTTCTTCCTGGTTATGTGCTAATTTAAACTTCGTATTGTAAGGCCCCAGTAAATTAAAGAACGATTTGTAAACTAGAATATATGATTTTTGTTCAGAAGACATTTGTTGGTGAGACCGAGGTGAAGGTAACATTCTTAGTTGATTATTCGACACCCCTGCCTATTTCTGATAGTTCTTTTACTGGATATGGTTTAGATTGAGATCCAAGACCTAATGAATCAATAGTTGAATATCAAGGAGTATAACAACAACTAGGTCTGTAGACAAGTGTTTGACATGCGGCATGAGATTTCGACCAAACCTGATGAGACACAAGTATAACCCGATATAACTCACGTCCGGCACAGTTGATTGAAGCAAGATTAGGTAAATGAAATCTAGTTAGATGAATGTTATTCTCAACAAATAAGCCACCATTTATGTGCATAATATTTCCATAATCCTAAAACAACGATATGAAAAATATAGGTACACATCAACATGAATATTTACGCACTATTAACTTATTATCTGCTGCCCCTTACAATTTTTTAAGACAGTGTATTATGTGAAATACAAATATATGATGCTGAGATATTTGCAAAACTCCGGACTGCAGACGTCCGTGGTGAAGAACGAACAAGCTCTTTACACTTTCCGAGGGATGGCGCGTTTACCACCCCACTAACAGGTCCTCCGTTTCGACGTTCTCATAGCCGCGTTTTGTAGATACAATTGAAGTTGGAATTTCTACTATATGCTCAGCACAAGGGCACGTGCGGCGCAGTGGTCGGACGCGCCATGCAACACACACGTGGACTCGTTCCCATCGTCTATGGCTCACCAAACCTTCCATCCCTTCGGAATGGGCAAATTGGTACCAGACTTTCCTGGGAGGATAGCATCACTGGCTCGATACATCGGTAGGCAACCGCGAGTCATTGTAAAGGCCAGATATGCATTCAATCACCTCTAAACGATGCTTAACGAAGTCGAATGTATGGCGCATCCCTCGGAGATTACTCAACGCTGAGATATATCCTTTTTATATCCTCAGCTTAACTGGATCCAATGCCGATTTGGGTTCCCCAGATCAATTGCGTTGACGGGTGACTGCCGATGGCAATGGTAAACAGAAACTTGGCTGAGATACACGCGAAACAAAGACCCGCAATGTGTGGCGATCAACGCGTTAAAAGGTTATGGCACGTTCATTCCTCGCCGCAGACACCTGCTGTCCGAAGTTTTGCAAATATCACAGCATCATTATAGTTATTTAGATACTGTTCATCATAGCCCCAAGAATAGTAATGAGATTAAATCACTAGTGGGTACCGATGATGACTTACTGACCGTAAGATTTCCAGCTGTTTCCTCCATTCCGATTTTAAGATCTCCAAGCAATGATCTGCATCGATGGCACGATAACAGTGCTGTACCTTAAAAAACTCAAGACACTTAGCATCCCTAGCCATGCATACCTCATCACACTAGCTAAGATAGATTCTGAACACGAATTCTGTTCATTCGTTCCTTTTTTTCTAGAATTATCGTGACTTTCTTAGTTCCCGTGGATACCAAGTCGTTTGACACTAAGAATCATACGTGCCCGAACACAATTTCCACACAACACCAACGTTCTGGGTTAAAAACACTGTCTCTCAGACTTGGCAAGCCCCTTCCTCTGTAGAGTCCTCAGATAGCTATTCATTACCAAATCGTAATCATACCACGAATTATGACTGCATTTCTGCTAAAGTGGTGGCAATTGCTTACGTCGCTTTACTTTTAACTGTTCAATCAATTTCATTTCTTTAGAATCCCTCCATTAAGCAGTTTACCAAACTCAATGGACATTTTACATTCACATGAAATATGTATCCCTTAATTGGAAAGTGACGGACCTGGTCTAGTCCCCTATTGTACTGTAATCTTTTTCTCAACGTATATTACTATTCTCAACATGGACGACATGGCAGTGGAAACTGATGGTCGGCAATTGCACTACTTTCCGATGACATCGTTTTCATAATACCAAGCGTTAGACAGGCGGAACGAATGCTCACCGATTTTGGTAACGCCTATGGAAAGATTGATCGTCAACTAAATCTCACAAAAAAGTTGTTCATGAAGAACGGATGGCTTTCGTATGCCTCATCTACGTCAAGGGAACGAATATCTTCTCGAATGCTCCAGCTATGCCTACCTAGGTCGGGAAGTCAACGTGATGAAAAACTTAGCTCCAGAGTTGAGGAGTTAGCAAGCGGCTTAGCGGGGGAGGGGCTTTCGAGGATGTGGTGATGAGATCAAACAACACCCAACTCGGAGTCCATCGTTTTGGACCCCACAATTCCCCCACCTTGACGTATGTATGGGTAACCTGATCGCTACGTAAGCAGGGATGAAAGATCATTTAACTTATTGAACGCGAATTCGAAAGGACAATGATAGGAGCATTCTTCGTCACGCTAGTAGGAGTATGGATCAGAAGCTCTGATCTACGTTAACAGTGGAAAGTGTCATATGAACCGTTTGTACCCCCCACCTGAGTTAACTGATGAATGTTGGAATTCTAGTTAATGTACATCTCCTATACAATACACTATCTATAGAGAGCTGACCTTTGTCGGTTGACCACCAAATTCTCGTCACCTCACGTCTTAGAAATGGTAATCACTAACCTTTAACAAAACATCCTAAAACTATCCCAACCGCTATACATGACATTGTGAAGACAACTGAGTAAAACATGAGGACAATACTGTAATAAATAAACTTTAATAACAAGGCATAAGCTAACAATCTATACAGTTATAACAATAAACAAACAATCATTGCAATCACGGTGATAAGGAATGCCTATCATTAACAATAACGGTCCAAAACGCTTAGGGAAAATGACGAACAGATGAATACCTGCTCAAACGGCAAAAGTTGATGGAGAAAGCTTATAGTTGAGAAATGACATATATACTGTTTTTTTCATTTATTCACTGAATTCTCAGCGCGACGTTTTTTTGCCATTTTTCGTGGAGACGGTGGATCTGGAATTGCGTCATCGAGAGCGTGAGAAAGTAGCTCTTCCTTGTTCATTTCGTATCTGCTCTGAAAACTGAAATAGTTCAGAACTAGGCACGTGTACGGTCTGAAATCCTTAGAAGACCAATATGAAGTAGAACAGTTTCAGCTAAATCTTAGTAATATTTTTAAAATTCTCACACGATCTTCATTAAAATCTAGCAGGTTAAAAATGGGAAATAGAATGATCTATTCGAACGAATTCAAGTATAAGTTTGATTTATAAAATTTCAACATATGTCAAACAACGAAAAAAAAACATCATAGCAGAGCATGATGCTTCGCAAACCTTCTTCCATAAATCGAAGAGATACGAGAGAGTCAACCTCATTTTCGGACCACTTTTCACACCAGCACTCATAAGATCGAGTCCTACAACCCAAAGACAAGCCAAAGCATATGTTTAGACACTCCACTGTACATTAACAAAAAATCTTCGTTGAAAATTTCGAGATTTAAAAACATAAAACTACTATTCTGAAAACCATGACGATCTCGACTTCGAGAATCGAAATTCGCATTCATAGAAAGAAAATGGCAGGAATATGGGATCAAGAATGATCAACGAATCGATACTCCATAAAAAAGGATAAAGTTCCCAGCGCTGATCAATCTCTGAGGGATGCGCCACGCATTCGAATTCACTAAGCATCGTTTGGAGGTGACTGAATGCAGATCTGGCCTTTACAATGAGTCGCGGTGGCCTACCGATGTGTCGAGCCAATGCTGCTATCCTCCGAGACAAGTCTGGTACTAACTGGCTGACCACGGAGAGATGGAAGGCTTGGTGGGCCTGGGAAGCGAGGATCGATCCTATGAGTATTGCAGGGCATCAGCGACCACTGCGCTACACACGCCCTTCGATCGATACTACACGAGGGATAAAAACTGATAAAGAAAAAGTACACCTGCAAAAGTGACAAAGTGAGACGAACCTTTTATCGGAAAAACTGGAATAGGCCATTCTTCTAATAAAGTGATAAATTCTTGACTTGCACATGTTGCTCTGGCAAGCTGTGTTACCATACTAAGACTAGACATTTTGATTTGATCTGAATTATATAGCTCAGCATAGATGAAGAAAGTCAGTGCGATTGTATAGAGAAACGTCACCATGTCCAGGTGAAATCTCCATATCTACAATCATGTCTTTCCACCAATCCACATTTCCACAGGATAAGGCTTCCTCAGCGTCCTTTCTATTGCATACAACGAACTCACCAAGGAATTTTTCTACATTGGAAAGCTGAAAAACGAACCATAAAATTGAGCCAAAATAATGATGACACTGGAGCAAAGTGCACTCAGGTGGCAAAAAGACGGTTACGGATGAGCCAACAGATCCTGCTATTATACCTCGAAATGATTAACAAACCCACTGTCTCTAATTCTCCAGACATACTTCCTCTATGAATGTCGACAGACTCATACAATGTGTGTATATGTTACACGCAAATGGTATTCTGCATGTCAACCAAAGGCTTGCAGTGAAATGAGCGTAGCACATAGGAAGCGATTTAATACCTCCACCAAAATCCAACTCCACTCAGAGTTTTGCTGAGCACACGCTTCTCATTATGCAAAAGGTTAGTTAAACGGAACGAATTCTGGATGATTCAATGTTTTTCATCAATAAGCAGACACGAGGTTGTTAATATAGAATTTATTAGAACACAATTGCTGACGTTTC